TGTTAAGAAAATCGACAGGAGGTTCCCATTTTTTCCAGAATCTATTGGCAACACGAAAGCAGATAAGTTCAAAAAGAGAGAATCATAACAGGTAGAAGAATGGTCCGAATAACATAGCCTGGTTTTCTCTTGATATTCAAATTGAAATGCAATTCTCTCGACTGTGTCGCCGATGAGTACCATAAAATGACGGAGGTACTCTTCACGTCCAATTCCTCGTTTTTCTGGAAGAAATGAAAGTTGTAGGAAGAAGAGGTTGCTGAAAAATTTAAAAATTAAAAATTAAAAATTCGGCATAGATGAACAAATTTCCAAATCGCAAAGAACAGGTCTGTGAGTCAAAGGGATATTTTTCGACATTTATTTGACATTGTGTCAGGCTTTCTCTGGAGGTTGTATATACAATGTATCCAGAGCTGAAAAACTGTTACCAGTTTTTCCTCGCTCAAACATTTGTTTTCTGTCAGGTCGTTAAAAACACAAATCGAACTCGGTATCCATACATATTTTGATGTTGTTTGAATCTGCGTGATTCCCATATAAGAAGATGAATTCCACCTTAAACGATAGTCGTCCCATGCCATTGAAATCCATACGGAGGCCGAAAATGTCTTATCTTTTTCGTTCACTTTACGAATGGACATTAGACTCACTGAAATATATAGAGGGATTATATCTGAGACAGTATTAAAAGGAGCCACACGAACCTCATGGCTGTCCAAAATATCCTTATATAGCTGAGATCTATTAGTTGCTGAAATTAGATTCTCTTTCAAAAATAAGGCAAGTGTTAGCAACAGATATAATAGACTCTGAAACATTATTGAAAATTTTCAGTGTCTTTCTATTCTGATCCTAGGCACATAAATGTCTTTTCAATTTGAAATCATAAATGCCAATTGCAAAATTTTTCACCATAACTAGTGAATAAATGGTACTAAATAAATCAATAGATTTTAAATCTACAATATGTCTCGGTGACCCAATTTATAGTGAAAATTTTATCTTTATTGGGAAAGATAATATAGTAAAATTACCGATTGTTGACATAAATTAAAAAAAATACACTCTATTTACAGTCAAATTGAAAGCCTTCTAGCGGTAATGTGTGATGAGTCAAGAAAATAAAGAACGTGTTTTGATTATCATTTGATATGCGTAATACAATCCAAACAAAAAGGATTGATCAGTGAACGGAATTGAACAGTTTTGATTTAACAGGGGAATGGCATTTAACTTCAACCTTTGAACTCCCCTTTCGCATGTTACAATACACCCTTATCAAATGCATATCATGGCGTTCATTTCTCCAGTATTTGTCATACTTTAGAGAGCATGGTCTAAATTTGCACATTTTAAAATACAAAATTATCAGAAAGAAATCATTTCATTTTATAAAAGGAATTTGTCCACCATTTTGATTGAACTCTCGCTTTATATACATGTAAAAAAAAAACCCGCAACTTAGTTGGTGTTCTGTGTAATTAGTCATCACCGATATAGACGAACGTAACCATTACTTAAAAATGCCTTCAGAGTATAGGATGAGAATTATCCTTTCTCTTTAATTATAAATTTGAATTATAAAGTTATTCTGGTAGAAAATAAGCAATTCAAGTTTAATTTGAATATAAAGAAATAAATATAGAAAAAAATATAAAACTCATAAAATAAAGAAATAGAATTCATAAACCACAGATATGCGATTAAATATTCATATTATTATTAGGTGTGAATGTCTTCTTCCTTCAATAAATATTATTACAAATGTTTCTATGCGTAGATTGTCCAGAAATTACTGTCACGTACATATATGAATTGTAGAAAATTGTTGATACAACTCTGAATCAATCTCAACTGCTTTTTATAGTGTCATTGTTTATTTGCAATATAATTTCTGAGTAAATATAAGCCCCACCCATTAAGGTTATACGCAATTAACGTACTTTGAACTTTATGGGTTGTGACCTGCACCGTTTTAAGAGTTCCATTGCTTCTTTTAAAAAAATGTGTGCAAAGCATTGTTTATGTCTATAAATGGATTTATACACTATTCTTATACAATTTTTGAAAAAAATAAATCTAAAATTTATGTTTTATAATTTTTGTACATTTTTATCACGTGAATTGTACAAAAATTTGTTAAAATTGAATGTCTGGAAAACCTCCGGTAAGGCATACGCTTGTTTTTTAGTTTATGAACATTGAACACATTAAAAGTTTAAATTTGGATTAAATAACCCGAAAAAGTTCTGTTCGCTTTATCAAAAGGCTAAGTTTATGATAAAATTTTGCTGTATGATAATGCAATAATTGTCAGCTTTTTTTTCCAAAACATGTCGTATTTTGGCTGTACTGTTTCATAAAATTAATGCCTTTATCCTTTACAAGATGTGACTGCGCAATTTTCAAAAATGCATACACTTTATGTAATTGTAATGATGTTTACAAAGGATATTTACTTTTCAAAATATCTATCCCTCACTTTTGAATTTCAAGAAATCTGCGTTTAAGGTCATATTCGCTGATCTGTGTAACATGCATAAGATATAATTCAAAGGTCCACTTTTAAAAGATTTTCACTTTGATTCTTAACTGATTATGAATCTTGAAAAAACTAGCAATGTAAAATTTAGTATGAATTTAGTCTAAAAAATCCAGAGATCAAAATTTGGTCAGTTTAAAAGCTTCATTCGTTTTCTTTATTGTTCCCTACATGAATGCAAAAGGCTACTATATTACTGGTGGATATTACATCAGAATCATAATTTTAATGATAGTTTCTGATCATTTTTTTCAGCAAAAATATATAAATTCAAGTTGCTATTTACGATGATCATCTCGTTAATTTTCTTATAACCTGTTGATTCATGTTTCAAATAACTGATAAAACATTAATTTTTTAACCTCCCTTTTTTTATTAGACATAACATTTGGTTATAGATTGAATTCAGTTATTGAATAGGTAACAGAGTTATAAAAACATGTATATATAATATACATAAATGGGTTTATACAATTTCTTAGATGACATATTTTCAAAAAAATTCAAAGACTAAAACTAATGTTTTAAAATTTTTTGACAAAATCACTACAGTGGGATTCATAGAAATTCATTTTTAGCCGAAAATTTAAGGATTTTCCTACCATATGAAAATATATTTAACATCTTAAGTACAGCACTCGAATGATAGAAATGCTGGTCATTTTATATGAAAATAAGGACAGTTTACATTCGTTTCATCATAGCTTATCTTGCATCAGACAATCAGGTTTAAGAAAGATAGATCACAATTTATCATTGAATGAAATGCTGACTGACTGATTTTATACCAATTGTTAGTCCATTTTTTATACACTGAATTGACCACGGATTTTTTTCCGTTATTTCCAGATTATGACAACGAGCACACGGTAATTGTGACCGTTTACAAAGGATATTTACTTTTCTCCATGGCACCTGATCCCACCTCTGATGTTTCGGAAATCCGTGTTTGCTCTGCTCTTATTTTGTATATTTGTTTAATGGACGTTGAGATTGAATACTGTTTTATTTCCATATTTATCACTAAAAAAAACAGATTTAATAATTATTGCATAGTATTTGAAAATTTTTGACCTGTGTTCTTAATATATGTCACAAAATGCGTCGTTCAAAATTTTTCTTTAAAAGCATAATCTGTTTCAATACCTCCCCCCTCCAGCTTATTGATCAAAACATAGCACGAACTATCTGATCAGAATCATAAGTTTAAAACCTTATCAGTAGCAAGAATGGACTATGTATACAGGCAATATCACAAATTGTAAATATCCTCACATCGTATTTTTTTGAAAATGAAAGGAAAAAGTGGAACTACCAATTGTTACCCTTTTTTAATACAGACAAAATTAAACGTAAATTTCTAACACAATTTTAAAACAACTGAAAAATCTTACGAAATGTGATGGACATAATGCTTGTAAGAGGAGTATTATAGTCTGAAAAGTTAGAAGGCCAGGTTAAATGATTAGAGCACCAAAATGAATATTTGTTTAAAGGAAAATTTGTGTAACAATGTACATGTATTGATCATTTATAAGGAAGAGATTTAGCAATTAGTGCAAAGTGCAAAGGAATTTTGACGTGTTAATATATAAAAATGCTTTAATTTTACTAACGTGAAAAGACAAATACATCTGTTAAAATCAATACCTTTTGATCTTATCTCATAAAGATCACCTTGTGTATCGATCTTTATGTGAGCGGAAAAGACAGAAAAACCTTATCAGTAGCAAGAATGGACTATGTATACAGGCAATATCACAAATCAATAAAACGAGTAATTAAGGTTTTCAAAATGAAAGGTAAAATTCTCTACCACTAAATGTCCGTCTACTCTGATATTATATTAAAGCATTTTATAGTGGAAAAGGATTGCCCACGAGAAATTTTCAAAAAGTTCATTAATTAAGCAGTAGTTAATTAACAAAGATTGCATTGAAGTCTATGGGGAAAAGCGTTTTTTCAAAATAAAAATTCAAATAATCTGAATATCAATAAATCCTGTGGTGGAAAGATGCATTGTAATATTATAAACAGAATGATAACACAAAAAAAAAGTACCAGCTAATTTGTTTTTAAATTGATTTTTTTTTATTAATTAAAAAAGGGAGATAACTCTTACCAAAATTCAAGGTCATGAATTAGGACACATCCCACTAAACACACTTATAGTAATAAATGGGAAGTATGTCTAAATAAACTGAGTATTCAATGCCTACATATCTGTTATGTCTTCAATTTCATTGAATTTCTTCCTAAAACTCATTAAAGAGTTTAAAATCTTACCCCGTGTAAATGAAATATAACTTCCAAGATCTTAATTGTGAGGTCAAGTAGAGTTCGATGAAGAAGATTATTAATAATTATTCTGCATTAATGAGAGTCATAAATTTATGTCTTTTAAACAACCCTAACAATAGAATTGGTTTAGTATCTGCAAAACCATGGCTTTTTTTTAACTTGATGCTGTTTGTGCAAAGAACACTATAAGTGAAATAACGTCAACAATAATAACAAGTATCATGAATATGCGGTCCAAAACTTTGGCTGTTACTTTTGTTTTTAAAAAATTGAAAACATTCTTGATACTTTTACCCTTTTGAGACAATGTTTCCTTAATGTCAAAATTCTCAGGAACTTTTTTCTTATCAATGTCTGTAATATCCGGCAAATCCGCGGGTACTATCTTGTTATCAGATTTGTTTTCATTTTCAGCGGAACTGAAATGAACTTGTAACACTACAGCCTCTAAGACCACTGTGAGGCCACTGACTACTAGCTGTATGGTCAGATAAACGGTGAATGGTGGAATCTCATCCGACTTTGGCATTGTATCGTTAATGGTGCTTAAAAATACAGCAAAGGACAAGAAAATCGCCATCGATGTACCCATCTTTTCACCAGAATCTATCGGTAACACAAATGCAAAAATATTTAAAACGGAGAGAATAATTACTGGAAGAAGGACGGTCAAAACAATAAATTCCGGTTTCCGCTTGATGCTCAAACTGAATTCCAGTTGATTATTGTCTAAAGTTATCCAAAAATAATTAACTTTCCATTCTTCGTTTTGTTCATAGTAGGTCAAGCTATATGCGGAGTATGTTGTTCCTAGATCAATGAACTCGGAGGTAGTAAAGTAATTTCCAAAAAACAGCGAACAGACCTGTGAATCGAAAGGGTATTTTCTTATGGCTATTTTGCACTGTGTAATGCTTTCTCTGGATGTTGTATAAACAACATACCCAGAACTATGTATTGTTACGGGTTTCTCCTCCGTTAAACATTTTTTATCCGTAACTTCGTTGAAGATGCAAATTGAGCTTGGTATCCAGACATATTTTGAAGTTGTTTGTAGTTCGGTTATTCCATTGTAAGACGTTGAATCCCACATGAAGCGGTGATCTGGCCATGTCATTGAAATCCAAAAAGAGGCTGAAAATGTCTGCTCCTTCTCATCCACTTTCCGAATAGACATAAGCATTACATTTATTGATAAAAGAATTTTGTCGCTGACAGTATTAAATGGTGCCACTCGAGCTTCGTGACTGTCTAAGACATCCTTGAAAAGTTGCGATCTGTTGGTTGCAGAACAAAAGTAGTGAAAGCCAAACGCAACCAACAAGAAGATATACAACTTTGCCATTTTTGAGAATAATCGAATTTTCCTTGAGTTACGATAAAATGGTTGATTTCAAGGCAGTTTTGCAATCCAGAATCGATCAGCGAAATCTGATTGTCAATATTTTATCATGACGTGAGAATTGATAAAATCACAAAATTAAACAACTGATTTTATATTCTCTAATAATCAGGGTCTGAAAGGAATGGTAATAGTTTGAGATGACCTTTTGTAAATATTTGTATTTCTCTATTACTTTGACACGTCAATCATTTAGTTACTTTTAAGACTAATATAAAATCTTCTTGTTGATCCGTTCTTGCGGGTTTAAAATCAGGGTTGAATATTTAAAGGAGATATTAACTTTATGTTTATTTACCAGAATTACATTAATTGCTAAGTAAACAAAGAGAATAAAAACTGATTTACTCTACAGGTATGAGAGCTGATAATTGCCAAAAATTCCGGAAATGAAATGTAACCATTTAAATTCATACATGGGTCAATCAAAAAAGAAGAATTGTAATAACTTCATTTTAAAGTTCTATAATTTCACATCGTTAGCAGGCACCACATGTTGATATAAGCTAAGTGTTAAAATCCAGCCTTGTAATTATAACTAACAGCCGGCTTTCGAATTAAATGAAATAACTGTCCAAATCCCGGGAATTGACCCAAACAAACATGATAGCCTTACTGAAATTCAATTGTTCGTTGCGTAGTTACATGACCTGTGCACAATGTGAACAAAGGAAAAGCCGTAAATCGTTTTTGTTGTGTTGCATTGACTCATTTCGAGAGAATAAAACGTTTAAAACTAATAATAATAATTGTTTTAATTTTATTTCACCCAGGGTTATGAACTAAAATGATCATATTTTCCCCCTTTCTATCGCATTACTCAAACTGAATTAAATGAAAAGCTGAGTAAAAATATAATAGAATTATATTTTGCGGGTTTCTTTCGTCACATATGATTTATTGGATATAAAAATATCATTATGTTCACATCACATTCAACAACCAATTCACTGTTGTTGGAAGAAATTATTTCATCACAAGTCTTTTACATATTTTATTTGGTTTAGGATTATTTATCCCCGGAGAATGATTCTAGGTTCCTTACATGCCATATGAATTGCTCTTTATTGCAAGGGGAAGGGGGGGGGTGTATTTCAATGCAATTTGCATCGCATATTAAAGTTGTTTTTTTTTTCAATTAACAAAAAACCTTTACCTTTACTTGAAAACAAATTGGTAAATATGTGTATGTCTTTCGCAATCATGGGTTTAAATATATCAAATATGTGCCTTTTAAATTCCCTTTCCTTAGTATGTATTTTTCTCTTACCAAGCAATGGATTGATAATCCCTTCATTTAAAAGAAACTGTTTGACATCACCTTTATTCAAATACACATGTAAAAAAAATTACAAAATCACTCTACAAGAAGAATGACTTTTCAAGAGTTTCAATTGAGAATAAACGTATAAAAAGTCACTGACATTGCACCAAAAAATAAATTAACGAAACTACATTAATTATAACAATAGCTATCATAAATATTCTGTCAAGTTTCTTTGCATCAATTTTTAAAAATTTGCAAAGTCTCCGTTTTGCCTCCTTTTCAACCACTTTTTCATCCACATCAAGTGGAACAACTTTGTTATCTGATGTGTCTTCAGAGGACTGGAAATGAACATGGAGGACAATGCTTTCTAGTACCACCGTTATCCCACTTACTAGGACCTGGGTAAGCAGGTAAGCTGAAAAGTAAGGAGTGTCGTCTGACTTCGGCATCGATTCATTAATTATCGTTAGAAACACCGCAAACGTCAGAAATATCGCCATTGACGTCCCCATCTTTTCTCCTGATTCAATAGGAAGCAAAAAGCAGCAGATATTAAGAACAGATAACAGAATTATTGGAAGCAAATCAGAAAGAATCACATTAGTGTATCTTCGTTTAATCTCCACATTGAAATGAAGTTGTTTTAGGGTTAAGTTGAGAGATGCATCATATGTTTGATGAAGGTATGAAAACGAATTTGTAATATCCCACTCTTCATTGTTCTCGTAGTGAGTAAGACTGATCGTTGAATGTTGTTCTTGAGGAAGTAGAAACTCTGAAACTTCAAATAGATTTCCAATATATATTGAGCACACATGCGAGTCAAATGGATACTTTCTTATATTTAGCGTGCACTGTGTAACACTTTCTCGGGTTGTAGTATATGCAACCCAACCTATATTCATTATGGTAACTGGATTGTCTTCAGTTAAACATTTTTCACTTTTGACCTCATTGTAAATGCAGACAGAACTCGGAGACCATACGTTTTTGGAATTTGCTATTATAGAGGTTATGCCTCTGTATGAAGAAGGATTCCAACTTAGTCGATGATCCATCCATCCCAGAGTCAGCCACATAGATGTGGAGAACGTTTGTTCCCTTTCACTTACTCCACGAATGGACATAAGATTAATATGAACTGTAAGCGGAATAGCTTCTGCTGTTGTATCAAAAGGAGCAACACGGGCATCATGATTGTCTAAAACATCCTTGAAAAGTTGAAGTCGACTTGTTGCAACAGAGCCATCAGGAGTTAGAAAATAAATTAGCAATAGCACATTGAAATAATATTTCAAAGTCATTTTAGTGCCCGTCACTTAGAGTGACATTATAAAACCTGCAGCACTTGTACGTCTTTATATAAAGCTGGCAACTTGCATTTCGAAATGGAAAAGGGTTTTGTTTTATTGAAATCTCTGCATGGAATTAAAGTTTTAATACTTTAACTTCAACAGTAAAATGAAAGGTCAATGGATCATAACAATTTCTTAAGTAGCCTTTGTCCTACTTAAAGCTTTTAAAGATTTCCATTAATAAATCCGATGTTAATCGTGATATTTTTATATATGCAAGTGCCTACATATAAGGAGAAATAACGTCATTCAATGATTGATTTTTATTCTATGTGCATATATTATCGAGTTATTTTTTGGATTTTATTTTTTCATTGAAATTTATATAAAATATCAATCAATTTGGTTTTTTTAAATAAGCTTCCCCTTCTCCATCCTAAAATCGTCCAAATATTTCGATATGCTGGACTATTGATCAATAAAATAGAATACATATACGCCCACCGTTCTTCAAAAAAAAATTGGGGAAAAGGTTGCCTTAAACCTCTCTATGAAAAACTTTGATCTCATATTACTTCGCAATCCATATTTCATTTTAACAGAAAGTGTGTACATTAAATTGAAATGATTAATTATAAACCAGATAAAGAAAATGTTTCATTATTTTTTTAATTTGAATATGCACTCACACTTCATCCCTTCAACGCACACGTGATTTCACCTTAATTACATGTACATGTAGACTGAACGTTAATATGTACACCATACGTATTTTAAGAATAGGACAAAAAGAAAAGTCTTGACTGTTATCTTCGAGCGAAAAACATTTTCTTGATTTTATGCAAACCTTTGTCCTTAGATTGGGTATTTTAAACACTTAACGATTGAAGTTTGAAAATTGTATTTATATTAAATAGTATTAAACTGTACTCCATAGTCATTAATCTTATTACATTTTAAAATTGCTTTGATTCTTTCATTGTTTAGATTTCTAACAAATTTCGGTTAAATAATTTGGAGATTGAAGTAGAAAAGAGATATGTTTTTCATATTCCGCCGTTCCACGCAAATGAAAAGTCCCTGTTAGATTTCAAGATTAAGTTACCATTTCTATATATTAAAAACATACCAAGATAATGCTTTGAATAATTATCCTTTGGATATTTCTTGTTATCCATTTTTAGTATTATATAAAGAAATACATTTTAAAAGCAAAGAGTATCATTGTTTTAAACATTAAGACACGTAGTTTTCCACTTATATATAATTGACATTAACATGATTATATATGCATATTTTATAATACATGTAGCTGGAACAAAAATATCAGTGTTAAAGAATGATATAAAATTATTATTAACATCAGATGAAATTTTAAAATGTGACCCTTATGTATATGACGTTTTTTGATTGATTGATTGTATATTGTTTTAAGTCCCATTCGAGAATTTTTCATATAGAGATGTCACCATATACCGATGAAGGGCTTCAATTTTTTTTACATTTACTTGCTACTCAGGGCCATTAAGCAGTGATGGATCATTATCGTGCCAACGCTGGTTTTTAATATTACAAGGTCTCATCCGAAGGACCCAAAGTATTTAGTGCATGGCGAAGGAACAGTTGCTACCCTTTATATTGACTTAGGAGAGACGCTGCCTAAATTTGAACTCACGACCTCCTGATCACACAGCGAGCGCTCTTCCGACCGAGTTCTCTTGTTGATGGTTCTGTTTAAGTTAAAAACTTCACTAAATAGATACAGAACCAATGTGGTGAATATTACCCAGTTCTTTCACATCTTTTGTATATCTGATAAATATGTACATTCATTCACAAAAAAGTGCCACAGAAAAGAAATATTTAGATGGTTTCTTTTGAACTTAGTAGCAATGATAGAATTCAAAAGCAACCCAATCCCCATTTGAAAAAAAAACGGACTTGTCTAGACTGTGACAAAGTTATCATGATACTCAATAATTAATAGTGACATGATTCAATAATGATCTTTCTTTTATATAAAGAGACCGTTACATGTATCTCTTAGAAAAAAATTAAAGAATGTCATTCAAGTGAAGAGCATTAATTACTTTATAAAATATTGTTTTAATGTCTGTTTATTTATTTGTATAATAATGGATCATGATTTACATGTACGTAAATCTGATTTACAATAAACTCTTTGTTTGCTTTTTTTTCTATTTTGCACACCTGAAACTGTCTTTCTCGTACCTGCTCTACATAATCTAGATAATTTACTTGATTAGTATACACCTCGTAAACACAACGATTTTTTGTAGAAAATATTATAATGCATGTACTTTAAGTACATGTACAGAAAATAAAATTCTTGAAATTTCTTTCAAAATTTATATTTT